GTATCGATCTCAGCCCTCTATGATGGGATGGTGGCCTAGTGATAGGCCTGGAGTGTGAGATGGTGTGAAGTGTGATCCTATTATGTGGTGCTACTTGTGCCTTATATACATGTGTAGGCTGTGGTCATGTGCGAGGTGTCAATACCACAACAATTTCTTCTGTTGTCCCAATTCCCAAAACTGCAAAAAAACCAACCCTTGACAATTGACATGCAGCGTGAGGCCCCACAACTTTGGTCTTTGAGCACTTGAGTACTCAAAACACAACAAAACAAAGGGAATCGACTCCAGAACACCGCCAATCAAATTCCACTCATTAAATACACTTTTGCAGGTGGTCAAAACGGAGAAAAAATTCTCTTCGGCCGGGAATTGAACCCGGGTCTTCCCCGTGACAGGGGGAGATACTGGCCACTATACTACCGAAGACTAGTGATATCCGGTCTAGGAAAATTTTAAATTATAATCGTTTTACAGTTGGGTTGTCATGAGAAATTCTTTTCTCCCCATACAAACCGACAGAAAGCCTCTCAGGCCCATCTTTTTAAGAATGGAAAAAATGGGGAAATACAAATGTCAGCCTATGTGATGACGATTGACGCGGTCACGGCAATCTTGCCGCTCAAACACAAGCAAAATCAACACCAAAAGACTAGACAAACGTGTTCGTTGCCAAAGATCTGCGTCTTCTCACATAACAGGAGCTCCAGGTGGTCGAAAACCGCTGGCATCCTCATGGTCCAATCTTCGGCACAAACAACGAGAAACACCCCATATCCAGACGATGCCCTGGAGTGACAGCACCGGTGCCATTGACGCGGAGCCATTAACCACAAGTGCTGTAAAGGGAGTCATTCGAGCGACGCCTCTGACAATGGCGAGGTCTTACTCTGAATCGTTCTCGGTCGTCGAGCCGGGGAGCCCGACATCGCCCACATCCCCGGACAGACTGGGCCGAAAAAGAAACTCGTCGCACAGAGGCTCATTGCTACACTCTATTCGGTCTTTTATTGGTGGTGCTGGCGCTGCTGGGGTCAGTCACAGTTCTGATGGAGCAAACTCAGCTGTCATTGACGAGTCGCCGGGTGGTACGCCGCAGAAGCGTGCCATGTCTCGGACTTTTTCGCACACTGGGCATTTCTTTGGTGTGGGAGGGAGTCTGCATCGTGGTGCGAGTACTGCAGATCAAGGAACTGGACACATAGCGGCTGATAATCCGAGTGCTGGTTCGGGGACAGGTCTTGGACCAACGACCGGTTCTGGTACCTCAACACCACCGGAAGGAGCACTTGAAGGACACGACTTGGCACTGATGGCGCAATTGGCACAGCCTAATCTGCACGTCGATCCCTCGAATGGCCACCGGCCGTCCATGGATTACAACCACACTCCGTTGGTCCGCAACGGCACCGGACTCGGATTCGGATTCGGAATGATTACCAGTGCTGCTACCGATGGTCCTTCTAGCTCCACCCTCGGTCTGGCAGCAGCATCCACCGCTCTCACTCCCTACCGACCGGTCTTCACCGAAATCACCGCAGCCAACACCCGAAACGCATTGCTTACACCCTCCGCCCGTCAACGCCTGGAAGTTTCTCAACGAGAGCGAGAACGTGCGGCGACCGCTGCGGCCGCCGCACTTGCCGCAGCCGAGTTGGCCAACATGCGGCGACCATCCTCGTCTGCTCGAGGGTCTATCGATCACGGCGCCCGACGTGGGTCAAACTCTGGCGACGCAGGACCCCTGTATGCCCCTCAGCCGATCGCTCGCACTCGCACTGATGGTCCCTTGGCACCTTTGGCGCGGGGCTTGCAAGGCCGGCCAGGTGGATCGCAATCCAACTTGCTGGGATTCTTCAAATCGAACCCGGGGTCGGGTGTAAACACTGGTGGTCCCAACGGTGGTATGGGGAGGACGCAAAGCTCGATGGTACTGGGCATGGGTTCGAGGTCCCATACCACTGTTGGTGGTGTGCCAATGTCGACCACCGCAGGTGCGCCAAGTATGGATGGAAGGGTGAGTCTTTCTGTCATGTGAATGCAACGGCTACCTCTCGTGAGAATCTCCCTCAACCTCCGCACCCCTGCATCAGCGCACTCCCTCAGGAACTCCTCCCCCCGACGCCTTTCCCTTCCACGGCGACCTCCCAAACTTTCCCTTCCCACCCCGCACCCCGACTCCGAACCTGGTTCCTCCCGACCCCGTTTCGACACCGGATTACGACCCTGACGTACCGGTGCCCACCATCGAGACCGAACGCCAATTTGAAAAGTATGTCATCGAAGGGTCCAAGACGAGAGTGGTTGCCGTCATGTATTATGCAGAGTGGTGGGTCTTGAGGGGGGAAGTTTTACATTGTCTGAGTCGGACCAAGACAAGGCACCAATAAGCATTTCTGCACCCTGCCCACATACTGTTTCGTAAAGGTGTCCACCTTGTCGGTTTCTTGACTCCAAGTACCACACTCTGGCCCTCGCGGTCGACCCTGCTCAGTACCTCTTGACCCGTCTCTCCGTCGACCATTTACCCTCCCTGTGCGCCGAGCTGGCGGTCCAGTACACACCCACGACACAGTTCTGGCGCAACGGACGGTGCGTGGACGAGCTCGTTGGCGCAGACGGGGACATGGTGAGGACACATTTGGAAGGGCTGGGGGCGAACGGCAACGTCCTAGCGGAAGGACAGTCAAACGATCAGGGACCCGACGGAGCGGGGTCGCCTGGGAAGATGTGGGGCTGGCGGAAGATGAGCACTACATCTACGGGAGGGTACGCCGGGTACAGTACCAATGGTGGTGGAGTGCACGGAGGTCCTTCATATATGGATTCGGCCCAAAGCGTTCCACCGCCGTTGCCGTCTGCTTCCCCTTCGCCGTTCGACCATCATTCAGGAATGAGGAGAAAGTCGGCACTCAGCGCCGAGATTAAACCTGGCGATGGAGGGAGTGACAGTGAGGATGACGAAGCGAGGGCGGCAAGGAGAATTCAAACGAAGCCTTCGTCGGTGACTAGGGTAGCGCTCGAAGTTATACCCGCGTCGCCAACCTCGCCAGTACTGAGTTCGTTTGCTCCGTCGGGAGATTCCCAATTGCAACCTCGGAATCAATCGGACGAGGAAGGGGAGGCTGATGGCGAAGACACCACGTGGTTCGAAGCCAAAACGCGGCGAGGACCTTTGGCAGGGATTGTGAGGGCAACGACGCAGGCCCACACTGGAGTTGGCAGTCACGGTGGTAGTGATGAGATTGTCGCAAATGCGGGTGCTGCACCATCACTGTCTTCACCCACACCACTGCGGGCTGCAGGCAGCAGTAGCACAGCACAACTTGTACCTTCTCCCGTATACCCCCAAACATCCGCATCGCCCAACTCACCGCGTACACCGACACCAAGTTCAGTATCTCGAGCTCGGCAAGAGGACGAGGATTCCAACGACGCATACCAAGAGTTTTCCGAGCGGAATCTCGAGTTATTGGGAAAACGAGGCGCCGCGCAATCTCGGACAGCATCGGCGGTATCCTTACCCGGTGCTGCGCTCCAATCTCGAGTACCCACCTCCACACCACCGCGGACTGGGTCTCCGACTGTGACGACACCTGCCACCCCTCCGAGTTCCCATGTTGCCGGAACTATCTCTCTCTCGCGGTCTTCTAGCGCGCGAAACGTAACCATGAGTGGGGCGGCGCGGACGGGTTCGTCTGGACCGCGGCCGAGGAAGGAGAGTTTGAGTTATTTAAGAGAGGCAGTGGCAGGAGTGGTTGGAGTGATCAAAGCCATGGAAGTTCAAGAAGGTACTGATCATGTGTCTACTGGGAAAGATCATGTAGAGACGAAGCTCTGAGTGCTTTGTCGTGGAGCCTGATGAATTATAAGGGACGGAGAGTTGGGCGAAGTTCGATTGTAGAGGTGCATGATCTGAGCCCACGGTAGTGTTTCACCGATTGAATTTAGGTTTCACGTAGTGATTGTGCAATTTAAGTTCGTATTTAAAATGGATATCAAGTTACATTACGGGTTTCAAGAAAGTCTGAAAAGTTGTGAATTAGCAGAATTGAGGAAGACTACAACAAAAGGTGAGTTATGCGGCTCATGAAAAAGAATTCTTTGAGAAAGTCAGATGTTGTGAAATGATGTGATCGCCTCTCCTTGTCTCATTATGTGCTCCTGTTCTTGGCTGATTATGGGCGGGGGCTTGTACTCATGCGAACGTTGGAACAGTCTTCAATGTTGGTCATGCCGACCTCGAACATAAGCAGCGTGTTTACAAGATGAGTAAGTCCCTTTCCGGCGGCGGTGTGGGCAAGTTCGATGCGATGCTCCGATGCACATGACGTCTGGCAGCTCTGGTGGCCGCACGGTGGGTAAGCAGTTCAAGAACGAGCATTGAGACCGATTCGTAGTGCACGTGCGTGACGACGTCGACGAGGTGGTGGGCAATATCCCAAATGCTTTGTGGGGATGAGAGGACCGTGAGGAGGGCGGAGATGGTGTCGGCGTCCTGATGTTCGTGTGATGGGTGACATGATGATGAAGGGCATGTGCACACCACTCCAATTTTCCAAATCAATTGGCTCACCAATAACGTTCCTGGAACGATTTCTCCCGTTCCGACCAAGATCTTGTCCGCGGCAACAATCGCACCTACCGCCATCTGACTGCTTTGAATGCCGGTAAAGCGTGAGTGCAAGAGAGAGAGTTTCAGAATGTGGTGTGCAAGCTGAACGAGCATTGAATTGAGTGTGGGAAACGGAAGTGTTGGTCGGTGTGGCGGCTCGATGTACCGTTGCATAGCGACGCCGTTTGTGGTCGCGGGGGGAAGTGCGTGCAAAGGACCGGTGTTGACACCATGGCAATGCGCGGGCTCATGAAGGTCGCCCATGAGGGCCTCGTCGCTAAACACGCATGGATAGATCGTGTCGGCCCCGGGGAGGTACGCGTTGGGTTCGTTACGCCGTGATGCGCTGCCCGCGTTGGCAACCAACTCGATCAGCGCACTGGGGCTCTTGTAGGCCAAGTTGTACCCCATGACTTCAAGAATTCTGTGCTCCATCTCGTATATGTCCGTGTTTGTGTGCATGGCGCAGCAAAGTGTGAGTGCGGAGCGGATCGTGAGAACTCTGCAAGGGAGGTCGTTGTACTTCGACGCAATGAAGAGGCACGTAACTCCGAGAAGTTGACTGTGTGGAGAACAAAGAGAGGGTTGCAAGACATGACGATTTGATTCGGTGTGGATTTCATGAACTCAAGGCGGCTCACAAGTCGTCAAGCGGCACAACGCGGTGTGAGAGGTAGCGATCTAAAGCGTTAGCAAAATGGTCAAATGACGCGACTCTATATGACTTGAATCGATTACTCACCGACAAGGTTCACCGCGAGTGGGAGAGTTTCGACGTGGAGATTGAATTTGGATGCCACACCTTATATAATGA